GCATATTTCATTATCATTCTTCTAATATATTATAGCTTGTAGATCTTTACCGAAACACTTCTTGCAAAATTATTGGATATTATCCCTGACCGATAATCGGGCTGGTGATTGGACACCATATCCGACTAATGATCGACAAAACCTGTTCTGATATGCTATTAATTCCCAGAAAAATATCTTTTAAAATATTAAAGTTTGTTTATAACGATAAAAGTTAGGATTGGGATTAAGGTTAGAGTTAGTGTTCAGGATTATATGTAAAATTTCCGTCTGAGCATTTTTTATTAATTCAGTCAGGAATTTTACCATATATGGAAATTTCAAATATAGTAATAATTAACATTTTAGAAATTATAGAATATTCCTATAATTTTTATTAATTGTAACGTGACTTAATATCATAAAATTGTTAATACATGTAGTATATATAATGGATTATGGTAATTTTCTGCCTTACCGTTACTGAAAGTGAAATAGTTTAAACAAAATTATTCGATCTTTTTTTTTAAAAAAATTTGTATAGGAGTAATATAGCTTGAATTTAAAAAAAATTTATTTCTCTAATTAAACAAAAGAACCCAAAAACACATAAAAATATTTTATTTCGAAGACCCAGTTCCGATTCCTTTCGACATGAAATCATAAAATGCTTTCTGTGGAATTTCAACGTTTCCTGTAGTAAAAATAAAAATCATAGTTTATATCGTTGACACCAACATTAATAATCGATGAAATTACCAACCAATCATCTTCATTTTCATCTTTTTCTTTCCTTCCCTCTGTTTGGCGAGTAACTTCATTTTCCGGGTCACATCACCCCCATACTAATTAAATAAAAAAAAAATGAATAATATTTATCAGGAAACAAATGAAACAAAAAGGGAAAATAAATTTACTTACTAATTTCGCTGTGACATTTTTACGCAACGCCGGAATACTGATTTTGTACAAATGCACGAAATGTTTGAATCAAAATATACTCAAGCATAATGTAAAGTACGTTAACCTACGTTTCTCGCGCTACAATTCTACCTCCAACAGCCGTCTGTATCATAATTTCGTACAACTGTCTAAAACAAGTACATTAAATCAATCTCGCGCACGCTTATACTAATGGTAATATCTCAATGCTCATTTTTAAATATCGATATTACTTGAAAAAAATTTACACACTTTGGTATAACTTCGCTTAGTTTTTTTGCCCAATCACGACCAACCTTCTCTACTTGCGATCGGTGAAGTATCGCAGCAAGTGCGTCCACCGGTTTCTTATTTATTAGTACATTCATCTAATATTCGAAAAATATCAAATGTTAATAACAAGCAGAAATTTTAATTAGTATAGTCAATAGAGAAATCTTGTTTAATTACTCTGACAATATCAGAAGTTTGGTATCCCATTTCTTCATAATCGAACCTTAATTGAATATGTAAAACATTAGACTTCGGTACATTCTGAGAAACAATAATAAAGTAATAAATAGATAAAAAAAATATACATACGTTGCATACCCGCTAGACCGTGACTTCAATTCGTCATGAAAATTAGTAACAATTTCAGCAAAAGGTAACACGTATTTGAGAATTACGCGCGTTTCGTCCATGTAATTGTATTCTTTTTGTTCGCCACGACGTGACTTTATATTAAAAAGCAAACTTTATTAATCATAATGCAAGATGAAAAAAAGCAAATTTTTAAATAAAAAAATAACTTACCCCACATAGGTCCATCATTGTGCCCAAATATTGCTAGAAGAAACATAAAGTTGATTTGCAAAAGATCATAAAGAGGTTATCAATTGACTGCTTTCTGACTCCGACTCAGGGTATAAACCGGTTGAAAAAAAGATGCGAAAAGAAATTCCAACAAATCGGACATACTTCCGGTACAATAAATGTTCCTAGAACCATCGGTTCTTCAAGACCAGCAACTTTATTTGCCATGTCGTGAGCTTCGGGAAATTCTGAAGGATTTCTTATAAGCTTCGAAGTCCCATCACGGAATAAAACTGAATTAAGAAAGTAAATTAGTCATTAAAAACATAATCGCGCGTTATTCAATTGGATTATCATTTAACAAGAATACTTTTATATGGTACAGTCGGTTGAGTGACAATAACATTAGCTTCGTATTCCTAAAAATTATAATATTAAAAATAAAGTTAAAACGAGTTCATAAAAGATTGACAAGGGTCCAGGATTTTAATCACCTCTTCTAATCGCTGCCGAAATACATCCATATGCAATGTTCCCAAGAACCCAATGCGCCATCCTTGTCCCAAAGCATCGCTATTCATAAAATAAATTATAATAATCTTTCAAACTAGATTCATCGATAAAAATATTTTGCACCTCGTTTCTTTTTGCACTGAAACACTAGCATCATTCAAAGTAAGCTTGGTTATCGATTCATCCAATTTGTTAAACTCGTTTGTATCCACTGGGAATACACCAGCAAATACCTAATAATATATTTATGAATAAAGTAATTAAATATTGGAATCTTTGGGCATACATATGAACCGAAAAATTACCATAGATTTCGCCGGTTCAAATCCCGGTAACGGTTCAACAGGATTCTTAAATTGATAAAACGTATCGCCTACATGTGCCTCAGCTGCGACTTTCATACTGCATACAACATATCCTACTTGTCCTGCATGTCTAATCAATTTATTATTAACTTTTATTATGTGAGCCTTAAAATTCAAAGAAATAAAAAATTAAAGTTACTTACAGATATCCAGTTGGCATTTGTTCAGGATACATTATTCCACATTCTACCACTTCGTATCGAACCTGCGAGTACGCAGAAACTATTTTATCTCCTAATTACCAATGAGCCATAATTGATTGTTTATACAATTAAGGTTAAGATTTTTCTTAAGATAAAATAAGGGATACCTTTTTGAAGTTTTCCATCTTTTATAGCCATCAAGCAGACAACACCAACATAAGTATCGTACCATGAATCAAACAAAAGTGCTTTTAAAGGTAGTGAAATGTCACCGGTCGGTCTGTTAAGAAATAACAAAAACTCAAAATTAAAATGACATAAATTATAGAGAAATAAAAATTCAAAAGAAATTACGGTGGGATCTTTTCAATAACTCGCGGCAATATCATATCAACATTTAGACCCGATTTCGCGGAAATCTACCCTTCAAAAAAAGAATCTTTTTATTTCGTGATCATAAAAAATTTAAAACACTTGAAAAAAGAGATTTGCATACCATTAAAATTTCTTTGGTATCAATTTCAAATGTGCTTTCAATTTGCAATTGTACTCGTTCAGGGTCTGCAGATGGCAAATCAATCTAAAACATTCGAATTTTTATCGTAATATAAACGTTAAAACTGTTTATAGAAACCGGTCTTAAACATGATAAAATCTATATAACCTTATTCAAAATCGGAATAATTGACAACCCTTCACCGAAAGCTAAAAAGAAATTAGCGACCGTTTGAGCCTGTATTCCTTGAGAAGCATCAATTAACAAAAGTGTTCCTTGACAGGCTGCTAGTGAACGAGAAACTTCATAGCTAAAATCAACGTGTCCCTATAAATTCACAGAATTATTATTAATTCCAAAGCATCAACATTGAAAAAATTATACTCATTAAAAATAATTTGAATTACCGGTGTATCGATCAAATTTAATAAATAATCTTCGTCTTTATATCGATAAAACATTGAACATGTCTAGTTTATATTATTTAATATTAATGAGATAAGCATGTTACTAAAGCAAAAAGTATTGAAGGATTCTATGGGAGAATACCTGAGCTTTGACAGTAATCCCACGTTCACGCTCTACAGTAAGTTTATCTAAAACCTGAGCATGGGATTCATTTGAAGATATTGTGCCTGTTTCCGTATTTAATAAATTATAATCACAGAAATAAATAATATTATTCGTCACAATCTACTTACCTGTAAGCTCTAGCAATCTTAATAATGACAATAAAAATTCAGGTTAGTTTCATCATATAACGGAACCAATAGGCTTAATAAATGGGTGCCGGTCAAAATCCCGACGAACAGAATCCCAAAAGCACAAAAAAATTCCCCGTAAGAACACAATCCCAAAAGAACATAATTCCGAAAAGAACATAATCCCGAAAACAAAATTCCGACAAATAAAATCCCGAGAACAAAATCCTGAAAGAACACAGCCCGAAACATTTTATTCGTCGTAGAGGTTAAGGGTTAGGATATAGGCAATATTGAAGTCAAGGTTGGCGGTAAAGGATAGGGTTAGGGTTATTGGAATAAAGGTTATATTGAGCACATGATATAGTAAATTTTCGCAAGGAATTTTTTTAAAACAAAAATTTCAGGAACTAGTTTTCAGGCTAACATGTTTTCGGAATTATGTTTTTTCGGGATTTTATTTTCGGAATTGTGGACTGTGTGCTTTCGGGATTCTGTTCGTCGGGGAATTTAGTACCGTCAGGATTTTGATCCAAACCCCAAACCCCAATAAATGAATTCACCTATCAGCCAACGTGCTTTTCCCATGATCTATTGTTTAGTCAAAATCAAAACAAATCGAATCAAAAAATGCATAATGATAAGATTGCATCAAAAAATTAAAAAAGAATCTCATACGACACATCACCTACATGAGCAATTATACTAAAATTTCGAATACGTTCAATCGGATAATCTTGAAGTGATATTTCGTCATTCCTCTGCAATTGATTTTAAATAATTATTGTAAAATATTAAACAAAAATAAAACAAAGTGAAAATTACCTTTTTTGCTATTGTAGACTGTTCCCGTGTCTGTCGATGCCCATATTTCAAGTGAAAGAATTTAGAATTACTATGATGATTAATATTACTGGTCTTGTGCTGCCCTATAAATATTTGATCAAAATATCGAGATATCAATATCGAGTGACTTGATGATCGTGCATACAGAGTACTTTTAAGATTTAAAGGTCTAGAGTTGAGAAAGTGAGGTTTTAAATTTTTCGAAAGCGAACAACAATTCTCGCGAATAATAACAAAAGACATTACGTATCTTTAATACATGCACACATAAAACTTTTTTTGTAGTACAAACGTCATCGCTAAAAATTGATGATCTACGCGAGTAACATGTATTTTCTATTTAGTTCCAAATATAGACAAGAATTTTTGCATAATTCTAAATAACGTTGCGGATCAGGGCTCGTCATGCCAACCAAATTATAACAAGATCGACGAATTTTAATATCACTACGATAACCATATACTGTCAGAACTTGTAGAAGAGAATTAGGACTGGCAAATGACATTTCGATGAAAGTCGGATAAGTAGATAATATTTTGGTTATTTTATTCTAAAAAGAGTTAGCATCATTCTTTTGGAAAATGTCTCATTCTCCTCGATTTCAGGTTCCAACATGTGTCAGAAATTTATTTACACAAGAAATTTCAGTATTGTTTGGTACGTTCGAACTGGTGCCTGTAGAGCCTAAATGTTCAAGAATGTACCTGTTGTTCATGAAAATTAATGTGATTTAGCAAAAAAAGCTTTCATTATATATACCGTTCTAGTAGATACTTTAAAAACTCGTTGATATAGCGCTAACAGCAAAAAGCATTCTTTTTTCAACGTGTGCATATAGAAAGTTTAATGATTACCTTTCTCATTTCTGCATTTAAATATCCGATTTTTTATTCTTATTGGAAATTACAAAAAGTTCGGCGGTACTTAAAGTCATCTCTCGAAAAATTTCAATATTATTGTGCCTAAAAAAATTTAGATTCCTTGCTTTAATTATAATGTTCAACAAAATATTAGAATCCACACCAGAACACAACGAGGAAGAAGTGGCGTTTATTTTATGACTAGCTTGGCACTCTGAGAAGATAGTTTTTTTTAACAATCTATGATTATGGCCAAGGATCTTCTTATGAATGACGTGATAGCATGGATTTGAAACGCGAAAATTCAAGTCACGAATGAGAACTTATTATAAGTAATACAGAAGTTCCACAAGGCGCTCTTGAACAGCATTCATTGAACACAGTTATGTTTCCATTATTAATATGACAAAGATTATACATGTATCTTGATTTAGCTTTTAAGAACATACATGAATAATATAGAATTTTGCATGCAAAATTCGAAACTGGATTTTTCTCGATGGATAAAACTTATTAAAAATAATAAGATTATTATAGTTACAGGTTAAAGTAATTCTTTCAATAAGACGAAAAAGCTTTTACATGTACATGGCGTATGTCCATGTTAGCTTGGAATTCTTAAATATTGTAACGTCAAAGCTCCTTATAACGAGGTATCGTTATAAACAAATAATTTTTATATAGTCAGAGATTTTCCGAAAGGCCTTGATAACCAAATCTCGCTATATTAGGGGATCGTTTGACTATACTGTATATGAAATAAACCAAGATATAATAATTTTGCTTTATAAAATAGTATTGTAAATAAATACAAGATAAATAAATGAAAATAACAAGTGCTAGCATAAAATCACCCGGAATTACTTCAACCCAAATGTTTTGACGTGGGTACATAATGAGGATTTCTTTCTTCTAAATTACAACCGACAATAAATAACGGAATATTAAATGGATTATTTGTTTTAATTTTTTACTTTATTCTTTCGGTTTACAATAATAGCCTTCTTTATCTTTTCTCATAAATTTATTGAAAATCCAGAAATTGCTTTGAAATCAATATATAAATTTTATTTCTGGAATTTAGTAATTAAAGAAATTCTATCGAAAAGGTATAATAAACCCTGGCATTTTTTGTTTAGTATTCTTAATTTCAAGGTAATTTCCGAGAAAACTTTCGTCAGACCCTGAATAAACCTATATCGATATGACTATATTGCAATATAATTCGTTGATTTTTTCACAGGATTACATACTTGTAAAGGTAACGCTGCTTAATATAGTATTCTTATTATATTACGCATACTCATCTTAATATTATTATAAAGGGGTATTATGGCGCAAATGGGTATTGTGACGAAAATGAGAAGTTAATGTCATATTACATGCACATGTGTATCAAAGATATCATGCATGCATATCAATTAACGACAACGTTTTTTTATATGCAAAATACCTTTCGAGATAATGTGATTCGTCACAATACCTATCTTTCGCCAAGATACCTCCCATTCCCTCATTGTATAAATCAGTTTTTAAATGGTATTTTTTATGTGACATTTTCACGAGAACAAGTTTTATGCATAGACCAATTTTTTTTTTGCGTTGGCGTTATCAAGATATTTCCTCGGATTTTAAATCTTGTGAGATGGCATAGAAACTATTACAACATCCCTTGTGAGCGAGTACATCCACCAACAATAAAAGTGATGTTCAATTCTACCAATGTTCTGCAAGGAACAAGAATTAATCCTTATATTCGAAACAATTTAACAACGAGAATGAATGACATCAATAAAACATATTGCTCTTTAACTTTCCTTTCTACCACCGTTATTCGTAAGTGATACATATGATACATGTTAAACGTTAACGTTAATACATGTACATGTGTGTAATACATGTGCATGTACATGTCATAATCTTTACGTAAACATAATGATAATTCTATCATAAACCTTGGCCAATACGCTGGAATTTTCTTTTGGTGCTTCGTGAAAATTAATAATTGACCTTTTAAAAGCTGTGTTGTTTTGCCAACTTAAAGTTTGTCTTCCTGTTCCAAAAATATTTATCTCACTTCGTTAATGATTTCCCGTTACTCTAATCGTCTATAAATAACGATAATTTAGCTAAAAATCAGACTAATTATAATCGACAAAACTATCAAGAAATTTCTATCCAATTCCTTCTTTCATAAACTACTTTCTTTTATCCTTTATAACATTTTTCACAACCTATTTAATTTAATAAATGGGCAGTTGCCTAGATAAGCTTCAAATAAATGAAACAGATCCTGATACACGCTCAATCATTCCTATTACGGGAACATCTTCCGTAAATTCGGAGATATTAAATAACAATTCACATAACAACCGATACCAACACCAAAAACAATACTCACGGATGTGTTCATTATATGCTAATAATGTTCGTTTTTCTAAGTTGCATGCTCTGTTCAAGTCCACTTGGCAAGTAAATTTTCTTGCGCCCGTTCATGAGCTACTCGAATCGGGAAACGCGCGAGTTTTAGAATACGGGTAAAACAATCGTTTTTGACTTTAGATAAATTATGAAGAAAAAAGAAGAATATATTTGATGCTTTATCAATAAAAATTAGATGCCAAACAGGGGAATGGGTTTTAGACATCTCTGATAATTACCCACTCGCAAAAGTATGGGGAATCGATACATCAAATAACTTTCCTTCCTCGCCAATACCACTAAACTCTAATTTTTTAATCTGTGATATTCTTAACGTTAATGGATTGCCTTTTGCCGATAATACATTCGATCTCGTTCATACACGATGTTTAGCATTCACATTTACCGAAATCGAATGGGAGCAAAGGGTAATAAAGGAATTGTCACGCGTGTTAAAACCAGGAACTGGTTGGCTGAGTCTCCTAGAAATCAGCTTATTTTATACAAATGAAGGTCCAAACACCGCTAAGCTTACGGAATCCAGTAAATATAACGTTCTTATTTTGAATTTTTCTTCCATTTCATATTTATCTTGAGAAATAATTATTTTTAATTTTCTTGACTAGTGAGATCCTTTCTTAAAGAAAAGAACGTGAATCCTGATATCACAAGCTTACAATTAAAATTGTTACATGAGTCTAATCACTTCGCGGACATACAGGTCCACGAAAGATTTCCCGCTACGGAAATTAATATCGATATTGATGATATTATTGCAAAGGAATTTGCGCTAACCATTCACAGTTTAGGTGCGGAATTATCTAACTTTATGGGATTAGATAATGAAGAATATAATTCTTTGATAGAATCAAGTGTCAAAGAATTTAATATTTATAAGACTAGCGTTAAACAGACTAAAATAATTGCGCGTAGAATATAGTTTTGATAATTTTTTTTAGATAAATATGTAAATATTAATGACAAGAAATTAAATATCAATTTTTATGAAACTTTGCATTAATTTATGATGACTAATTTTCGGGAGAAACAAATCTTTTATCAGTATAATTTATAAAAATGACATGAATTGCTTTCGAATACATTAATTTGTTAAAGTGATTGGGCTGGGTATTTACTTTTTAAAATTTATCGGTATCAATTTTTTACTGCAAAACAACATATCGATATCTTTTATTTGACGTAATAGAGAAAAATCTCTAACCACAAATTTTTCATACATGCACATAAATGGCAATAATGACATTTACCCATCGTATTTAGGTAGTTCTATCGCTATTGCATACATTATCTAAATACATGTATGACCGGAAGAATCATTATTTAAAATCATTTTTGAATAAGAATGAAAGGTTGCACATGAGTTAAATTAAAAATTTATGGTATACTTGTACATGTATTTGTTTGTTAGACACAAGGAAGGTTTTTTCAGCCAAATTGTGAACACATTACGTATGTAAAATTAAGTACATCTACATGTATTTGATTTTTCTTCCAACAAAAAATTGTTTTTGTTTTCAATGCCGTGTAATAATGCAATAAACAATAAATTTTATTTTTAGACTTAAAGAATTGTTTATTAAAATTCTTGAAACTCAATATTACATTTTCAAAGCTTCATCATTATCGTTATACACAAATGATGGAACTTTGCCAATTGAACTGTCGTAGTTACAAAGATATTATTAGCTGAGGTCGAGGCTGGGAATCGGATAGATGTAGCACAAAAATAAGATAACGATAACGATAATTAATCGGATAAAATATTCGTACAAAGCTTGAAGGATTCTCTGGTAATACCGATACGTATAATGATTATTTAATTTCGTATACTAGTTCTTTAATATATAAATTTATGCTCTTTGGATATTCTTTATATGAGGTGAACAATAGAAACAAAGCAAATGAGTTTTTGTATTTAATGATAACATTTAGATAATTATACTGGCAACAAGAAAGTTTAATAAATCTTTAATTAATATTTGCTGGCCATCCGTCACTAATGATATTTGACACATTATTTAGATTCCTTACTTTTTTGTGGTTTAAACACTTGCGTGAAGCTAGCACAAGAATTGAATTAAGAGCAGAGGTGATTATGTAATGCAGAAAATTACGTACATGTATTATCGTTATCTTTGCATGAATGTAATAAATATTGCTATAACGATGAAACTTTCATTCCTAAAATAACGTATTAATGTTTATAAGATTGTACGCTTATGGATATACTACATAGAAATTGAATTTTCATTAATATTAACTATGCATACGTACGATGTAAAGACTGTATCGGTATGAATACAGTCAGAATATCTTGAACAATTAGTCATATAAACATTTCGCAATTCTCTAATTGAGATTTCGGCAGCGCATTTCTTTATGTTTACAATGATAAAACAGGAATTCGAAAAGTAATAATAATTTGTATTTGTCGCACATGAAAATCATAAACCAGTAATTTTTAATCTGCCACAAGAAAACAAATACGAAATAGGTAATTTTGCTTTTTTTAAAAAATTAAATTCTTATGGGGGGGGGGGTGATCAGAGTGCAGATTATTTTTATGCTATTCGTATTAGAATTTCATGCGACAGATCTCGTGCATTTTAAACCACAAACTTGTGCACGCAGTTCAGTGGCATTCCTAGCATTTTTCGTTGAATTCGGAATCAACTCGTTAATTTGAGCTGAATCGTTTAATCGGCTCTAACAAAATTGATAAGTAACGCATTCTTTAAACTAAAAACATGCTGATTTTCTTCATAAAATCTCGCATAATTTTTAAACCAGGAATTTTGAGTTTATTAATTATACAATAATGATTTTACATGCAATACAA